ATTGCATAATTATAGCTCTACAGAGATGAATCGAGCACTGTGAATTGTGATAGAAGACGACTTCATTGGATATGTATATATATATAGTAGAAAAAGAAGAGGACACCCTAACGAGAACATTGCGTATCGATGTGTTGATTTATTGGTAATGTTTCGAGAAGTATTACTTCCCTTCGTCAGACCTAAGAGTAACAAAACAACCAAAAAGACAACATAAGAAAAACTTAAAGGGCAAAAGGTAATCAGGTAAATGAAAAAAAAAAAAATATCACATCAACTGAGAATGGCAAAATCAAGTCAAATAATTAGTAAAAGCAGGGGAGAAATCTTAGCAGGTAAGACAAGCGTGTTAGCGTGTGTTCGGACGCCACACTGTTGAAAAGCTAGAGATGCATTGAAGGGACAATAGGGAATAGAACATAATAGGGACACCGGGCAGCACTTAGTGAACAGGTGCGGGACAAGGCGCCTATTTAGTCCAAACAAAGGGGGACAAGTGAGAATGTGAGAAGTACAAGAAGGGGGCTGGACTGGTGGGGACTTTATTGTTTGATGTTGAGTCCAGCTGGTTCGAAAGTGTTACGTTTTTTTTTTCATCCAGTTGGATTCAGTGAGTCTGCGGAGAGATGTACCGGTAGACTGGGAAATAATCTGATCAATAGCGATGATATTTAAGTGTGAAAAATTGTGGCCGGGAAGGTTAAAATGTTTGGTGGTGGCATGGTGTTTTTTATTGAGGGAAATGTCTGATCAGTGTCCTCTGAATCTGGTTTTGAGTGTAGTACTTGTTTCCCCAATGTACTGGAGATTGCATTCGGTGCATGTGATGCAGTAAACTATGTTTTGTGAGGTGCATGTTAAGTTTGCCTTCATGGGAAATGTTTCGCCCGTTGAGGTACTGCTGATTTGGGTGTCATTTTTTGCATGTTGGCAGGTTATGCATCGTTTCGCTGAGCATTTCAACAATCCTGTGGGCGTGGAGTCAATGGGTTTTAGAGAGGAGGAGACCAGGATGTTTTTGAGTGATGGGGCTTTTTTGAAAGAGACCATGGGGTGTGTGGAAAAACAGGATCTTAGTCTGTCGGAGGATTGTATGATATGAAAGTTGGTGTTCAGTATTTTCCTGGTGTCTGGGAGTGATGGATTGAATTGAATGCATAGGGGGATACGTTGATTACCGTTATTGTGTTCCTTACTTTTAGGCTTGAGTGTGCTTTGCCGGCTGAGGTTACGTGCATTGGTGGAAGCTGCATCAGTGATCTTAGGGGGATAGCCTCGGTTATGAAGTTGTGTTCATCTCATAGATGTTGTCATCCGAGCATATTCTCTTAAGTCGGTGAGCAAAGCTGTAGGGTAGGCTCTTGTTTGTATCGAAGGGGTGGCATGAATTGAAGGAGAGATATTGATGACTGTCCGTGGGTTTGGAGAATATGTCCGTTGATAGGAAACCCTTGACGAGAACATCAAGGAACGAGATCATCGAGTTGGAGCATTCATGTGTGAATTTGATTGTGGGATGAAAGGAATTACAGAACTGTATGAATGTGTTAAATTTGTCTTCATCCTGGGTACAGATAAGAAAGATGTCATCAATGTATCGCCAACAGTGGAGGGGTTTGTACGGGGTCTGTGATAGAATATTGGACTCTAGTCGGCCCATAAACAGGTTGGCATAGTTGGAGGCCATTTCTGTGCCCATGGCTGTGCCGTGTACCTGGAGGTAGTGTGCGCCATTGAAATCGAAGTTGTTGAGGGTTGGGATTAATCTGATGAGATTGGTGAGAGTGGGAGTCGAGGGTGAGTGTTTAGGGCGATTGTTGAGTGTTTCGGCACATGCGCTGATGCCTTCGTTGTGTGGGATGTTGGTGTATAGAGACTTGACATCCATGGTGGCAATGAGGGTGTTGGCGGGCAGAGGACCAGATTCATTGATGCGTTCAATTTATAGGAGGAAATCATTGGTGTCTTGGATGTACATGTATGAGGGTAAGAGTCGAACTAGGGGTTTCAAGTGAAAATCAACAAATTTGGAGATGTTTTCAGTGGGCCCTCCATTTCCTGAAATTATGGGTCGGCCGGGGTTCCCTGTCTTATGGATTTTGGGTAGGAGGTAGAGTTTCAGGGTTTGGGCAGATGTGGGGATGAGAAAGTCTTGAGTTTTCTTGTCTATATCACCGTGCTTGTGTGCGGCTTTCACTGCATCTGATATGAGACGGGAGTGTTTGTTGGTAGGGTTCGAGTCTAACATCTTATCAAACATATTATCACTAAGTTGTCTGTTAGCCTCATCTATGTACCATTGCCTGTCCATGACTACAACGGCAGAGCCCTTGTCTGCTTGTTTGATTACAATGTCAGTTCTAGTTTTCAGATCCTTGAGGGCCCTGCGATCGGATGGTGAGAGGTTGTCGAATGTTCTACGAGAGGGCGTTGTGAGTAGTTCATCACTTATGCAGCTGATAAATGTCTCAATCGCTGGTTCCCGCTGGAGCCAACCGCTGGAGGGGTCCAATGGCTTGGCTTTCTGAAAGGTGGTTCCTGTTTGGTTTGTCCATAGCTCTATGGTTTGTCTTGTGTATTTTCTTCTTCAGAGTAGAAGAATTCCTTTAATCTGAGACGTCTGCCATACCCATTGACCCCCGCCTTGGTTTCGATGCTTTTAGGGCGTTGAGGGGTGGGGCAAAATGATAGGCTGTGTGACAGAACCAAAGTCTCATGTTGCGTTGGGGGTGTTGATGGGAGGTTGATAACACATGAAATGTCAGTGTTCCGTTCGTGGGTGTTGTCTCGTCTTCTCTTGAAGATAATTTTTCGGACGACTCTTTGTGACCTGCGTCGATGCGGGGTGTGGTCGTTGCCTCGTAGGGTATTTGTTGTATATATGAATAAAACCAGAGAAGTTAGGTCTGTCTTTCATTTATCAAAGAGCGATATTATGAAGGTGTTTGATCTTAATGCTCAATTTCCATGTCATAAGTAAAGAGCATATTGTGAACGGTCTATTCCTGATTCTAATGTTTAAATATTGAAACACAGAAAACGAGATTCAAAACTTACAGCTAACTACTGTTATTTATACATATAAGGAAATATATGTTGAAATTGTAATTTGATTAATGCGCACAATTCTTCAAATAAGTCCAAAATTGGGCACTTTTTCTAATCGTAACGTTTTAAGTCACAAGAAACGAAATGTAATGACAACAATTAAAGCCAATGACTAAAAAACGAACTTGCTTTTCAATTCAACGCCGATTGCTACACGAGACGAATTTCACAAATTTAGGACGAATCGCTATGCTAAAAATTTGAATTATACTGAACCTTAAATGAAATGTAGTGGTGGATTTTTGAAATTCAAATTGAGAATTGAACTTGGCGATGTTCAGGGGTGAAATTAAAGTATCAATAGGGAATTCCTGTGATACAAGTGTTAAAGTAACCAGGAAAACCTATATAAAAGAGAATACATGTGTAAGCAAAAGAAAGAAGATTTGGTTTCTCTGTTTTCACTTAAAACTTTTGGGGTTTTTAATTGTTTTCTATCTAAATACAATGTACATGTATACAAGTACAAATGTAACCAGTATCTTAAAAGTTCAGAGAGTACTGAAGTCTAATGCCCTACAGCTGCTGGTATATGACCCCAAGGCCCCTGGAAAATGAAATGGGTGATAAAGGAGCCCAACAAAAAAAATTACCCAAATTTGGATATTGGACCAGGAACTGTGCTAGAAACCATGGTTGAGTGCACCCATGAAAAAATGCCTGTGAACACCCCCAATTAATCTCCAACACATACATTTACATTTGACAAGGAACTGTACAAGGAACCATGGGTGAGCTCGCCCACGAACAAATGCTTATCCACTACCCCAAACTCCAGCATATGTACATGTACATTATGTATAGTGTACATGTACAAGTACATGTATGTATGTACCAGCACAAGTCATCACTGCACTGAACCACATGGAGCTGTGTTTTATAGCTCCATGACTGAACCAACCCTGTGTGTCCCCACTCAAGCACAGCCCATGGGAGTAATTGCCCACCCTATTAACATAAGTTAGATAACCCAGTCCACTGCAAACACATTGGTTCATTTTGTTAGGTTTGGGATCAGACCTCTCCAATCACTTGACAATGCATAGACCCATCCATACCAAGTCAATCAAACTGACAGTTGGAGTTTGGCAGGTTTAGCACTGTTGCCAGTAAGTACCCATCATGTGAGCAGCTGTTGGAGTTTGTGAGGTTTGGTATGCTTTCTAGTGCGAGAGCCTAGGGGGTTAGGTTTTGAGCAAAGCTTCAGCATCAAGTTTGGCCTGCAAATTTTCTTAGGTTATTAATATTACCATCACTTTCTGTTTTGTTGTAATCCAATGGCTGTTCAACACATGGCAGTCGGTTGGAGCTACCATTTGACAAAAATGTTTTCAATGAGTCACATTCTTGGTTCACAATTTGTGTTCTAAAATCTCTGCCTGTGTAACCTCATGACAGTTCCCTCATTTGTTAAAACAGCATGGTACATTTTAAATGTAAAAAAAGTGTATAATGTACAAAAATAATAAACCAAACAGTGGTTCTTACAATTTTCTTAACATTCAGAGGAATATATATTTGCAAAAAAAATCTGTTTCAGACTAAAAGTGATTTTATGGACCCCTTAAGTTTTTATTGAAGTTTGAACTGTTTTATGCCTCTCTATACATGACATACTCACACCAGAGGGCCTTCTCTTGAGTACATGTAGGCCTATGTTATATTTCTGAATAGTCTTTTTAGTAATTTTTGTATTCAATTTTTTTTTCTTTTACATAGTTTTCAAAATGTACTAAACCTACACGTCAAAGCATACTTTGTAAATTGAGCTACCGTACATGTAAAATTTACTCTTGATAGTCTTTAAACACAAAAAAATATTGCAAAGTTTGTGTGTGTGCAGAATTTGTTTTAAAAGGCAATTAACTCATTTTTCTTCTGCTATTTTGCAGCATTTGTGGGTTTTGAAACGAACAACAAATATACTGTGAAAAACACTCTTGGACAGCAAGTTTTCTATGCTGTAGAAGGTATGTATACATTTTACCCTAATATTTCCAAATCCATCAAAAATCCATCCCCCATTTTGGGGATTTTAGTAGGCAAGCAATGAGTACCAAGTCCATCAAAATCAGCCTGCAGTAGTGGTGGTCTTGTAGTGATTTAAACGGAATTGGTCCTGAAGCATTATTTTGTGAAGCAGTTCAGTGATATTGGCGGGCTTGGCCCAGTGCTTAAAGGGAATCATTTGCTTTTGCTGTCACTTTCAAAAATGGATGGGGGGGGGGCCAGGGGGTTGGTAATTATTTAGCAGATATTGTTACACTGACTTTTTTGACGTTTTGGGTTTGTAGATGCTATAAAACCAAGAAAAACAATCATTTTCCTGTAGTCTGGTTCCCTGACTCCATTTAAGATAAAACGGAGCAATTTATAGACATTGCGGAATTGTAAGGTCAGGGAACCAGTCTAACTGGCTTGTACTCGTTCATAGGTGTGTAATCGATTGCAAACAAATGCGGACTAACTAAATATGGTCAATTTGGGCCAGTATTTGAAAAAGCCATTTTTTCCAACGCTGGTCGGCCGACCAAAATACCACTTTTCTTGAAAATGACAGTATACCAGGTGCCATGATTTTACAGGATGCTTTAGACTGTCATTCACTAACAGTCCAGCAAAGGTATTTCAAAATAATGTGGTAGTTTTATTTTTTGGTGTTTACAAATGTTGTATTTTCCCTTTAATAAAAGGGAGTTAGGGTTAATAAAAAAAAACCACGTGGACAGGTTCATGCATACAATTTTTAAAATGTACATTGTATATTTGTCCCAGGTATAGTCGACTCTCGTTAATACAAGGTTCTCCGGATTTACTAATATATGTTGTGTTATCTGGAAGCTTGTCTTATGCAGAAAGCTGTTTCCCCCACTCACCGTCGCCAATCATGCATCATCCGAACAAAATAAATATATGTGCATGCCATGTAGGTGTTTTCCAAAAATGGCACATTGTTTTGCTTTTGAAAGCATTCTCACATATACGGTACATGTATAGGCCCCCCCAAAAAGTGTTCGGTTTCTGGTATGGAGCTAGCCCCAAAAGTGGTGCGGCGACGCATTTTTTTTTCTTCCCCCTTCAAATGTCGGCTGATTGCAGATGACGCTTTGATTACCTTAAAACTCTCAAAAATATCCTTCAGGGTGTAGCTTGAGGTGACATCACTAAGGCCATAGGGCTTGAGCATTCTGCACCTACTAGCACTTACGATCTCGACCGACACAAACATTTTTTGGGAATTTTGGATAGACAAGACAAAAATCAGAGAAAACGGTAACGTCAGACCATACAGCGACATCGACATCATGCATGTGCTGCCAAGGCTGGTCATTAGTCTGCTCCCATACATATTGCGCTAATTAAAAAGCGTTTACAGGTTCCAGATACACTACTATCGCTCCCTCAGTCTGGCTTCCAGAAGCACAATTATAAAATTACAATACTGTCTGGAAATGGTGCCAGACTAAATTTAGTGCAAAATAAAAATTGTGCAGCAGCAGGATTCCAGTCAAACCTGTAAGTTTGGTGGTTTTGAGACATCATCTTACTTTGGAATTTTTTTTTAAAATTTTGCCGATGCACGTGGCTACGGCGATGCGCACGCAGACCAAAAAACGAATTTTTTCTTTTGCCTTAAAGTGAGATGTACACGTATGATTACTAAAATTCAGACGATATGTAGTTATAAAACTTGTAATGTAAAAAGATTGAGTTGGCATTTTGATCACCAAAATGGCTGCACCAATAGCTACATCGCCTCTGCAATTTTTGAAACGGCATTGACCTTAAAATTGTCTGTGCTGTCCGCTTGTGTATTTGTCACATCTGTAGAACTTCAAACTTATGTAATTTTCGTATTTTATTTTTTTCTTTCGAACTTTGTTCTTACATGTATGATGTGTTTGATCCTGCAGAGTTAAGGGAGGGGCTATTGCCTCGTCTACATGTTTTCTTGTCTGGAGTTATTTTCTAGCTTTTCAGTGGAATTGGCTAATTCTACTGCGCTCTCCTTACGTCTGTAGAGTATTACTACATATATGCATTATTCCCTTGAGAGCGCCAGCCATACGCTAAGATTTATTACCCTAGTACCTTGGGCCCGCTCGGCATACTTCCTCTTTTCTCTTAGCGGCGTTTCGTGAGAGATGTATATTTACAGAGCTCTTGGTTTGCAAATTTTCTCAGTCTTTCCTCAGCCAATTTTTATAGCTAAGTTCATTGTTTATTCATCTATTGGTCTTCTATTATTGCTTCTACAAGTTGAGTGAGTTTTTGTAACATTAGGTCTTTTTTTTTCCCGTGATATTTCTTGGTCGTTACGGATACATTTCGGGAGTGAGTTCTTGCACAGCACAGGTTGCCGGTCACTCACTCCCGTTTCACGGTTCTTACAAGACTGTGTGCACGAGGCTTCGCACATGCTGCAAGTAGCTCATGTCGTACGGAGCAAGTGGGGCTTTGCACAGGTTTCTGGCTACTCACTTTATGCTCGTACGTCACGCTGTTCCAAACGGACAAGGCTTTGCATGGGGGAGCGTCACACGAGTTGCAACCCACTCACCCACTACTTACTGACCCTTCAATGTGATACATGTATTCACTACTTTAAGCAAATCCCTCACGTTCCATCGATTATTCGGTGTTTTCGCCTTCAACAGTTAGCGTGATATTTCGCTGCTAGCAAATCCCTCATGCTACACCGACTATTCGGGGCTTCGCCTTCAAAACGAAAACCGTTACGTGTATTAACCTCACAGTTGCTTGATGTGACGCTACAGGTGTCTTATTCTGTTCTGTTAATTTACACTAGAGCAATACATCCTCCATTTGATAGGCCTATCGCTCTTTTCCAAACTAGTCCCTATCTTTCACTATCATTCCAGATGTCCCGACTACTTCGACTGCCGTTCGGTTTTTCCTGATCGTTTTATACGGGTTTTTCCCCTGTGCTGAAATTATGTCATCCACGGGGCCCCAAAGTAATAGTCTTTGGTGATTTCCAAATTCAGAAACACCTAAACTACTCAGCCAGGTGATGCCCGTGGGGAGACCGCCACTCTGCCGGCTGTATCCACAGCCCCAATATTCGGCAATCCGGGTGCAAGGGCCCCACCTTTCCGGGCGGCGATTCAACTGTGCTCACTCCAGCCCTTGCTTTCTCTGTGTGGTTCATTAACATCAGAGTTCGCTGCTGCCTCTTCAATCTGAGTGTCACCTTCCGGGTTTGCCCACCCCATGAAATGGACCCTTGGTTATAGTCACCATCCAATGAACAGTACTGACACTCAGAGAAAACTAGGCCTTCACACTTCTCTCTACAATATTTATATTTATTTACAAGACATCATACACACGATTTATACACGCGATTTATATTCCTTATTTAATTCAGATTCAGGGGCAACTTCCAGTAGTTAAATACAATCACAAATATTAGTTACAATATCCGAGTGTCTCTTGTTGTCTCATGTCCAGCAAATGCGCTATGCCCGTAGCTTTCCCACTTAGCCAGCGGAGTCCACACGGTCCTCTGGTCCCGCCGCTGCAGTCCGGTCTCACTCCTCTGGTCACGGGGACGCAATCCCAAAACCAAGATTAAAAGCCCTGAAAACATAGCAATAACAAGGACGTGTTCTCTATATAGTTTGCCAATATGTTAATATTGTGCAACAACTAATCAAGCAATAACTAATTTGTTCGCCAAAATATTCAAACGTTTCTGCGTAACAAAATTATATGTTCGTTTGGCCAAATTTCCTCAAGTGCAACTAGAAACTTGGTAGGCCAACACTTGTCACTTTTTATGTAATATAAGCCTTATTGTATTTTATACCATAAATAGTGCCATGTTCTAGCCAATACATTACACGCTTAATCTTTCCAAAAAATCTCATAAAAATTAGTCTCCAGTTATTAAAGTGATACAGTGTATGTTAGAAAGATTTTTATTAAACATATCAGTGAGAGCTGCCATAATTAACCCTAACGTACCTAAATCCATCAAAATCCACCCCCCTGTTTCGGGGGATTTCGGCGGATTCAGGATACCTCCATATTGAACAAACTGGTGGATTTTGATGGACTCAGGATTCGAAGCCTAGCGGAACTGGTGGATTTATATGGATTCAGGATACCTCCATTTTGAGCTATTGGGGGACTTTGATGGATTCAGGATCTCAACAGTTTAACTCTTTTGCAATGTTTGTGGTCAAGTAAATACTGCTGGCACTAGCCCTGCCAAGTCTGTCACACACATGTACTGGGTGGACTTGCATGGAGGGTCACGTGCTGGAGGAAAGATACAAATAATGCGCGAAAACGTGACGAACGCACCGCTGTTTACGCGCAAAGAGCACCATGTGCATCGCTAATAATTATGTGTGCGCATCGCGTAAATACTTGGTGCGCATTTCTAGCTTCGCGCGCATTGAGCTAGGTCATGTGCTGGAGGAAAGATACATTTAGCTCTATTACTTTGCATTAATTTGTTGCGCGCCTACGAGAGACAACCAAAATGGCGGAGATTTATCGCACAGTGAATGGGCGCGTGTGGACGCGCTGCTGATCTAGTCTTTTCATTCTATCTGTGGTTTATGGGCTGAAACATGCGCTAATGTCTTTCACACAAATTTTGTGCGCGAGATGTATTCACTTCGGTACTCTATGCTGGGGTCACCATGCATTGGTGTATTTTGATGGATCCTATGCAACAACACACATCACAATTTTCATGCGAGCATGGTATCCTGAATCCGTCAAAATCCTCCACAAATTTAGGTGATGGATTTTGAAGACTCTATGGAAAAACATGTTGTTTTTTTTGGTTTTTTTTTATGCCACCATGGTATTCTGAATCCGCCAGAATCCATCAAGACCTTTGCTAATTGCTGGTGGATTCTGGCGGATTCAGGATACCTCCAGTATCTACACTGGGGGATTTTGATGGACTCAGGATACCAGCATTTTTTGCATGACAAAATTGGTGGAGTTTGGCGGATTCAGGATACTTCCTAGTAAAAGAGCCCCAGGAGTTAGGGTTAAAGAAGCCAGCTAGCAGCAAGACAACAGCAAACAGCCATACAATGCATTATCCAGCTTTTAAGTGTTCTAGCACTGTTGAGTTGTAAACAGCACGCTTACATTAAGTGTACCAGTAGCACGGAAACCACAGTGCAGGGATTAGCGAGCATTATCACCGTGATGATTAGCACCTCTCCAAATTGAACAGGCCCACTTATTGACAGGTTGTTTTCCAAATGCATTTAAAGTACTCGTTCTGTGCAAATTCTCGTATTGCTGAAGCTCGTAGTAAACCATTTTTTTCCTCATAGAAATACATACATACATGTAGGATGGGAATGGTGAAATATGCTTGTCTTCACCAGGATCTTGTCCTAGCCGAGCTCCTATTAATGAGAGTCAACTGTAATAGTGTAATGTGCAATTTTGTTTCATTATCACAATTTTTCATTTTAATATAATATTATTCAGCATGTAGCCTACTTTTTAATTACAGCACTCTTAAATAAATAATAATAATAATTTCCCTGTATCAAGAAATTTGATCTTGTATGTTCATTTTTTGTGACATGTAAAGTGCAGTAAATTGTAAGTGTTCTAAACTCAATTACAGTGTTAACCCGGGGTGTGTTGATTGGTCACTGATATTTATAATAAAAAAATACCAGAGCAAGTCTTAACCTTATAAGATTTGAAGGTTTTCGTGGTAAAGGTAGCAATAAGATGAAAGTTTACGGTAACATCATGTGATAAATCTCTTTTGTCAGTTTGGGAGGTTCTGAAAAGAATGTTTTGAACAGTATACTCTGCCCGTCTTAAGGAGACTGAAAGAAGCAATATTATGTCTCCTGATGACAGACAGAGCATATTGCCCAAAACGTTAAGTTCCCCCAGGTTCTTTACAGCCTCACAAACTCACAAAAGGCGTTTGTCGCATGGTGCTAATGTAAATCTTTATCGTAAGTCTGCACCTTACTTTGTGGGAGTTGATATCACTCTGTTACAAACCAATTCAAGCCTTAATTTATGGGGGGAAATTAATAACTCAAAGTCATTGGTGTACAGCACACAGAAAAATGATGACTGTCTATTAGTTATCTTGCAAGCGCGAGTGGAACACGGAATAATGTAGTGCGTCTGTGTCCCACATACCACGAGGCCGAAGGCCGAGTGGTATGTGGGACACAGACGCACTACATTTTCCGTGTTCCGCGAGCGCGATAACGAATTTATCTTCAAGCAAACTTGACGCACAGTAAAGTTGGAACACGCAACCTACGCGCAACTTTTGAATTCACAGTGAATTGTGCAGCACTAATCGCGTCACTTAGGCTTAGAATAGCGCAATACGCGGAGTGCGGTATGGACCGTGGCCGTGCGGTATGGTTATATGTAGCACGGCTTGTTGCCATGGATCGACCAATCAGGATCGAGGATTCAAGTTTGCTTGAAGATAACATATTTTGTACACTTACTGTATAGGCCCCATATCAACATTCTACTGGCGCCCCCGACAGGTGGCCTACACTGTTGGTAATGGTCCGACCAAGGTGTAATATTTTGTACATGAATTTTGGGTGTATCTGCAGGGCTTTTCTGTTGTATCTATTAACCCTAACTCCTTGTGGGCATTTTTGCTAGGATGCAACCTCAATGCTGCAATATCCTCCAACTGCCTCCATGTAAAAATTGGCTGGTATCATCTGTCGATGGGGGCGCTGTTCAAAACCGACAATTATACACACTTAACGGGCAATGTATGGTGGTTATCAGGGCGATACATGCGCGAAATTCAAAAAAAGGCACCAGTAACGCACAAGTTAGTTGGCACAAAGAAGGGCACGACTTTTGTTTAAAAAGGATACTTGTTCACAAAAAAGGGCATTTGTTAAAAGAAGGGCAGTCTTTACAAAATAATGGGGGGGGGTTTAAATACCCCCCCCCCCCCATCCATGGCTATGCCTATGTTGAGGCAGAGCCAGTGACATCCTGGAGCAATGCGGAGGATTCAAGTATAATTTAGGCCTATATTTACATTGTATGCATGGCTGAGCATAAACAACACAAGGTCTGGCCCGAGACCTTGACACAGTGCATCCTCCAAACTCAGCTATACATTTGTTATTACTGTAACCGGTGAAATATTTGAAACATATTTGAATGTTATATTTTTTGACACCTTTGGTTTTTCCTATTTCTACTGAAAATTTTATTAATATTTTATATCCCATTAGTCGGTACGTGGAATTGCTTTTTCACAAGTTTTGAATTGGTTTCATGTTCATGCATTTTCCAAGTATTGAAATTATTATTATCTTCATTGTTTTATGTACATGTTATATTGTGAGAAAATCTGTCCTTTGGCCCTGGGTGGGTCAGCCACACATTCCAAGTTTCTGGAAAAGTAATTAACTCCTAAGGCAGGAGGCCTGACTACATGTACCCTATTATTATTCATTAGACTCTAGCTTTTCTAGTTACTTTGTTTTATCACCTCTTTAGCAGTGACTGTTTATTCATAATCCCTATGTGGTCTGCCCAGGAATGTGAGGCACTGGCCAATGTCCTGTGGTCTAGATAAACTTGATTCAGTCTTGTATTAGCCACCATCAAGAGCGCACACATGTTGTAAAGTCTTGTAATTTAAAGAAAGTTTGACAGCGCTGGCTGCGCTTTGCTGCCATGCGGCCACTGACGAGGAATAAAAACAGTATACTTTCCTTTAACTTGAAGATCCTGTTGTCCCCGGTCACATTACCAATGGAACTTTGTGCACAAGCCCCTTGGGAATGCATAGGTATCAGAGATGAATATTTTGGGACAATTTGCCATTGTCAAGAAACTTCTAATGCGTTCAGTTCATACACGTCATGTAGTAAGTTTTGTGTTCGGATCATATCACAAGTTGCTATGTATTACATGCTGCAACTCCATTAACAACACATCACAGTGCTTCATGGAATAAGGTGCTGGTTAATAACAATAACAACAGTTCTCTTGTTTTTGCGTTATCTGAAGAAACTATGTTGTTACACTGCTTACTGTCTTTTGTTCCAGACACCAATTGTTGCACTCGAAACTGTTTGGGAAATTGGAGGTGTTTTGATATGAAGATACTGGATAATGCAACCAGGGAGGTGGTGCATTTGAACCGTGGCCTGAGATGCACTAGCTGCTGGTGTCCATGGTAAGACATCAATTTCATGTGGGTCTTTCCAAGCTATTTGAAAATGTCCATCAATGTGAAATGAAATCTCATTCCACTGCGTTTTTAAAGTGGAAAATAATCATTGATGGTCTGATCCATCAGTTTATACTAGGCATCAACCTTGGCTTGACAGCAGGTAATTGGTGACATCATCCCAACTTCATTGCTGTGTCCATCTTCCAAAGGTTTATATACTGGAATCTTTCATTTGACAAATGTATCTACAATGTAGTTGTCACATAAGATTCATACATGTAGGTACCCATGTGATACCATTGTGATCACTCCTACCTAATGCAGGCATGAGAATAAATTTCATTAAAAAAAAAGAAAACTATTGTAGATATATTTAACAAATGAAAGATTCCAGTACTATAAACCTTTGGAAGATGGATACAGCGATGAAGTTGAGATGATGTCACCAATTACCTTCTGTCAAGCCAAGGTTGATGCCTAGTATAAACTGATGGATCAGGCCATCAATGATTATCTTCCACTATGCTGTAACAGCATACCATAGCTGGCCACAGGCTACCAGACTCCATGTCGTCCACGTAGCCGCGAAACCCCACTTCGATTGCATGCACACGAAGCCCACAATGCTCCCATGGCCATGTACATGTAGTCCCAACCCCTGTACACATGTGTGTACACACATACGTGTATGTACACATCCATGCGGGATTCAGCTAGGATCACAGCCTTGATTATATAACCGACATACAGATCCTTGTCATTTGATTGGTGGAACTCACATCACGTGGCATTCGTTATTGCTCCCATTCATGCCGAGCCTCAAAAAGTACTATCCGCCCATGGGGAATGGGAAATACTATTCAACAGTTAGGATCATGACGCGATTTTTGTGTGCAAATGCATGCTGGTTTGCGCGTTGGCAGTGTTGCGCGTAGCGCGAATTGTTCCAAAGAGCCAGCGCTACAGCGTTGGGTTCAAACATTTTCGTGAAGGGGTGGTTTGGAAGAGAGAAATACATTTTCCTCCAGTTATGTATTGAAAAAAAGTTCAAATATATCAAATGACAAGGATCTATATGTCAGTTATGTAAAACAAATATTGAGTGGCTCGGTAAAATTTGGACTTTTCCAGTTCACTCGGCTTCGCCTCGTGAACTGGAAAAGTCCAGATTTTACCTTGCGATAATATTCCTCCCATTCCACGCTGAGCCACTCAATATTTGTATATTATTCTGTAAGTTCTGGGTTTTGCAGTTATGTTAATGAAATGAGCTGCTTACGATTGAATGGGATGTGATTTGCCCTTGATTTGAAACGCTACGCTGTTAAAAAAAAAACACAGCATGGGTTGAGTTGTGCATGCGCTGGTTTTGGGTTACCAAACCAACAATCATTGATCTATGGTGTGATTGGCCATTGAGAAACAAACATTAGTCACAATGGATAATTTGCATATATCCTCTCACACCCCCCTGCCATTTCACTCAGAATTACAAGGCAAAGTAAAGAAAAACATAAGTTACAGAATAATCCCACATGTGCATGCATGTATGTGTGTACACACATGTGTAAGCGGGATGGGACTACAAGGGGCATGGGGGAAACCAAGTAGGGGGCAGTGCGGGAATACGTTGTGGGCTTCGCGTGCTTGCGATCGGAAGTCCAACCAATACTGCACAAAATTTAGGCCCAATTCACTCTACTGTTGGTCAAAGTGTGCAAAGAATTTATTTCTAAATGAGCCATAACATCACGCAGTCTCCCCAACATTAAAAAAATACCAGTTGGTAATCAAAACAAGAATCTCCACCACCCACTGCCTTGTAGATGTTTACTACCACGTAGTCGCTGGTGCAATAGGTACTCTTGTACTTACAAGCTAATTTACACCGAATCGGTTTTATCTCACCACTAAAACAGTAAGTTAAAACACCTCGGAGGATGGGTTTAGCACTAAACCAGAATGGTATCTTCTAGTATGGTGTCTGAACGGTTTTAGCTAAACTGCTTCCTGATTTAGCCAGCGCAGTTGAAGTGGGGTTATATAACACCTTTTCAGTGGCGTGCTTTTGTTATAAACAAACGACATACAGTGAGGCTAAAAGGTGTGCAACAAGCTGCCCTGAGTCTCCAAATTTTCCTACCGCCGGCCATTCATGAAAAAAAAAATCAAATTCCAAACCCAATATATCCGCAAGTTTTCTGACCACATGGCCTGATAGCATGGTGCTCACCGCACACACAATTACAAACATGCTGATGTCAATGTAACAGCGGTTAGTTGGAGACATATTACATGTGTAATATTCATGTACATTCTACTACCAGGAAAACCAAGGCGCTGATTGGTTAATATAGCAATGTTAATATCAATGCGTATTTGTATGTGACTGGCACGATGTGTGGGCATGCCTGCTGACGTTGTGCGTAGATGCAACTTGTTTACATGTAAGTGCAAAACGTCGTTTCAAACACACAGGTTTTGCATATCAGCTTTTAACGTTAGAATTACGTCTTTTTGCACCACGAAAGCTATAAAAAAATAGCCCCCAGAATGGAAAAAAAAAAGATGTACATGTTCCAGTGTTGTAGGATTCGAGTACAAGACTTGAACTCACTCGAGTCGGACTCGAGTCACATTTTTCGTGACTAGGACACGACACTCGGGTGGGACTCGAACCCATGACCTTCTGCTTTCTAGTGCAGATGTCTTACCACTCGACCACCGAGCTAACGGGATCAGTTGGCCGGTTCAAATCTGACGTACATAGCAGCGGGTACAGCACAAACTATTAGGGTGTGCGGTTTGGGCCGACGCGGAATTTCTAGGTAACCTCAGAAAATGAGATAAACCACTTCGAGTTGAACTCGCTGTACTTAAAACAGTGTCTGAATGCTCAGCACATTATAATTTTACGATTGGCCTCCCACAGTGAGGGACCGTTTTAACTTTGACCGTTTGAACTAAAACAATGTTGTCTGAATAGAGCCAGAGATTTGTACTTTTGATACAGTGAATCATCAAATTGCTGTCGAATCCCATTCAAAATGGATGTGTCCCCTGTTATTGTTCAGTAGATTACCAGTTTCTTGATGGAACAGCAACAGAGTGTCAAATATAAACAGGTTTTCTCAGAGTGGGCAAACACTATGTTTTTTTTCCCAGGAAACTGAACCTGGCCCTTGATTTTCTTAGCATACATGTATAAATAATGCAGCAGTCCCTGCACAGAGTGAATACTGGAAAAATATGTCTCATTGAAAATAGACACTTCGACAGCTTAAGTAAGATCCAGGAAGGATCCTCTGTTGCTAGTCTGTGGAAAATGGGCATATATCCTCAACTCATTGAAATGTCCAACAATACAGATTTTTAGGGGCATAAATGAACCACTTTTATGTACAATTATATATTTCTGGTGAGTTACGTGTGCAAAGATAAGGTGTTACCCTACATGTACAACATTATAACTTGCATTGGGATATTCACCTCTTGGACATACATGTGACTAACAAAGTTAGCAGAATGCCGTCCCTGCGCAGCCTCAAATAAAGATAATAAGGTTGTCACAACAAACTAGACACTGTACAAAAGTTACATGTACACATTAAGACCTGTTTTTGGAATTTACAGCCCCATAGTGGCATTGAGGTCTTACATGTACTCAAACTGACAGTTAGGTCATTCAAAAAAGATTGTGTTGTATTAAATTTTGTTTTATATTTCTAGGCCAATATTACATTGATATGACCATGCATTAATGTTTTTAGGTCTTGAAACCCTGATGATGAACAGGAGGTTTAGTCTTTGTACCACAAGCGTACAATTTTGGTGTAATGAATGGTTTGTTAATTCTAAGAGTCTACATCACTCTACTTACCTGTAGAGCGAATACTACCTATGTATTGTTCCCTATGCCGGCAGGCGATTTGCTAAGAGTTTTACACACAATAGCGCCCTCATGTGTCCTACCCACGACGCCCTGTGACATGCGCACTACGTTAGCGTCCTCTTTTTCTCTTAGCCGCAGGCGAGGTATATCGTGAAATTTCACTGTTTTATTTATGCCTCTTTGCTGTGAAAAAGCTATTTATAACAAATAAAGAGAAAGTGTTTATTGTAGAGTTGTTATAGTGAGTTATTCTAAGTGAAGTGAAGTAGGAAATGAGTAAATCTAGGAAGTTGGGGAGGACTGGGTGTGTTGATAATTGAGTTGATAAATGATAACGTACATCTCACCAGACAAGCCCGAGTTCTCAGGGGACTGCACCGGTGATGGTACTTCACCGCGGCAGCAGTCCCCTAGTCAGCCCCTTCAGCCACTGCCGGCTGTCGGAGCTGACGGACCCGTTGACCAAGCTGGGGGCCGTACAACCCCACCATCTTCGGTCAATATTCACGGGTCCGCCCAGCTGAAGGGGAAACGCACCGGCAAGACAAGGAAATTATCTGAAGCCGGGGCAGTGCCCAAAAAGGGACGTGCAGCAAAAGGTGGCTCCGCAACGGGGCACACCGTGCCCGTCCCTGGCCCGTCTACGGGGCACACACAGCCGGAGGAAGTACTCCTCCATGGCTCAGTGCACCCAGGCCCACCCAGCCCCGTGATTACCTCGATGCCTCGGGATGGGCTTTTATACGGCCGGCTGGACCGTGCAGCACCCGCCTATGTTACCGGCGCGGGGGCGCTGTCGGCCGCCCAGGCTATTGATCGCATAAAGCCGACTCCCTGGGATTCCCCCAGAGCGTTAACGCCCGGAGCGTTAACGCTACGCTCTCAGGGCCATGCCTCTACATCGGATTTTATCCATTGTTCGGGAATCCCTGTGTCCCCGCAATCCTCGGAAACTACTCGGAGTCGATCTTCAAAAAAGAAAAAAGCGAAAAAGAACCGCCATTCCCGCCGTTCTTCGACGAGTTCTAGCGGGTCATCCGGTTGATCACACCGTGGGAAACGCCACAAGGGTGGCGACCCGATTTCACGCGATGATATTTTGGAGGCCTTTCACTCCCTCGCGGCCTCATTGTCAGGCCGACAGGGAGACTACGGTCACAGCTGGATGAGGCCGGGCCAAAGGGACATACCACACACGGTTAGCCGTGCGCCGGAGTCCCCTCCAGAATGACAGCCCCCACCCGCCAGTCATCACGGCCATGGTGGGGTGACAGACCAGTGGACAATGCCGTGCACGGAGAGCCGTGCACCGGCGTCCTTGCCCGGTATTAATTTACACCCATCGGTGTCACTAGAGTCCAAGCGGGGCTCGATACCGGGACACTGTGACGGCGCTGCTTTGCCCCCGAGGCCTGGTTCCCATTCCCCGGTGACAACTCGCCGTACTCTGACGACTTGGTGGACGAGAGCGAACTGACCCGCACCATGCAACGCCTATCGGTGGCTGAGACCGAACTCCGCTTGGTTCAACGGGATGTTAGCCACATAAACGTAATCTTTTTGGCAAAGTTAGCCACAGAAATTATTCAATTTATTGTTCTAATTTGGCACCCACAAAATTGGTCACCCTGACATTCGAACAAAAAGTATACTTATGCCTACACAAGTTCGTCAATTATTTGTTGCTGATTCTAGGGCTTATTCATTTGATCAGTATATAAGACCTACTTTCAGTAATTTGAGTATAGATTTCGTCATTCAACGTGGTGCCACAGTTGACGATCTTGTGATACCAACTTTGACTAAATTGCGTAGTTTCGGTGATTTTGATTTTACTATCATAAAGCTAGCTGCTGGTATAAACGATCTTACAGACTTTGTGCATTGTGCCCATTCTCGTACTAAGGTTTTACAAAAATCCAACCTTTCTTTGGATGGTTTATTTGTAAAGTTTAACCGCTATAAACAGCAAATTCTAGCTTGTATGCCAACAACAGTAATTTCAATTGTTACCATTCCCTCAGCATCTTTTGCATGCCTCTATCAGAAAGCCAAGCAAGCGCAAAAATAGATCAGGTCATCACAATACATCGTTACGCAACGACTTCTCATGATTGTATGACGGCCTGCATGCCAAATCCACTTTTTGGCGAAGTTAGCCACAGATACTATTCAATTTATTATTCTAATTTGGCACCCACAAAAAGCTGCAACAATTGCAGCCCAGTCCCGCAGAGCCTAAACCAGAAAGGTGTACGATAGCCGATTACGCCATTTCTTTAAATGGTGTAGACGGCAATCCATTCATCCCCCCAATACTTCTGTAGGGGAAGTGGGAGATTTCCTCCTATACCTTTTTAACAGTGGGCTCACGGCAGCAACGGTAAAAAATTATCGATCGGCCGTTGCCGCGATCCATCAGGGGTTCCCGGACGGTTCTTCCGTTTCCGGCAACCCTGCAATTAGCCAACCGATCAAGGGGATGTTTAATACTCGTCCCCCAGTACGCACATTAATCCCATCTTGGGACCTCTTCAGTGTACTATCCACACTGGCGAAGGCTCCTTTTGAACCAATGGATTGCTCAACTTTGTTACAAATCTCCATCAAAGTAGTTTTTCTGTTGGCTGTCGCTACGTCCCGACGACGTAGGGAACTACACTCATTATCGGTGCAGACAGGACACATCCGGTGGGAACCGGGGGGTGTCCGCCTGATCCCTACGGCCGGTTTTCTTGCGAAGAACCAGTCGGAAGCCTTTACACCCCCAGACATCTTTGTCCTGGACATCAAGTCCTTTTCGACCGAGACAAACTTTGGTGCCCAGTTCGAGCACTTAAGTGGTATGTCGACCGAACGGAGTCACTTCGTACGGGACACCGAAAATTGTTCATCACGACGACCCCGCCCTATGGGCCGGCGTCCCGCGATACAATCACCCGCTGGATTGTGACAGCCATCCATTCCGTACCTAGCGGCTGGCCAGCGACCGAGGGACCCATTCGAGCGCACGAGGTCAGGGGAGTGTCCACCTCGTGGGCCTTTTTTAAGGGGGGTCCCCCTAGGTGACATCGTCAAGGCAGCCTGCTGGAAGAACCCTAACACGTTCTCCGAGTGCTACCTGAAGGATGTCCTCCAGGCAGATGGCAAGGCTGGAAGAGAAGTGCTGCTGGCGGCCAGTCGAGCCTCACAGAAGCACTAACGGGTGAGCATAGAAATATATATTTCTATGGGCATTAAGTCTAATGAGGTGTACCTATCATGTGTTTATCCCCATAATGGTGACACCCCCCTGACCTTTTGCGCACGAGCTTTTTGGTTTTTGTTTGGTGTTGTTTGCCTTCGGATACGCCTCATGTCCTACACCCCTGTAGACATACGGTAATTCGCGTATACCCACCGCCTTACTTGGTGCGAGTCTATGCATAGGTAGTATTCGCTCTACAGGTAAGTAGAGTGATGTAGACTCCCCCCCCCCCCCCCCCACAGTAGTGTGGTTGGGGTCTACAACTGAATACTTACCTGTAGAGCACCCCTCCCTCCTTCCCCACTATACTCGATTCCTTGAGTGCTTGCGCAGGTAACGCTTGAGAAAAAGAGGACGCTAACGTAGTGCGCATGTCACAGGGCGTCGTGGGTAGGACACGTGAGGGCGCTATTGTGTATAAAACTCTAAGCAAATTGCCTGCCGGCATAGGGAACAATGCGTAGGTAGTATTCGCTCTACAGGTAAGTATTCGCTCGTAGACCCCAACCACACTACTGTGAGGGGGGGGGGGGAGTACGTCCTACAGTGAGATCTCAATTAGTCAAACCTCGAGGGAATGGATAGAAAATTTGAGATATCTGAAGTTCGAGTTACGCAAAGTTCCTATGAGTTTCTAGGATCACATACTTAGCGATGCATGTACAATGTACATGAATGGCTTTCACCATAACTCGCTATGCCTGACACGTTATTTGGCTTTCCTTCTTTTTATTGATTTTAATGATGTATTTCTTTCAATCACAAATCATCATTTTGCTAAGATGTTATGTTTTTCTTTACTAAAGGTGTCTGCTCTATGGACCACTCAAACTGTGTAACTTAGTGTAGTAAATATTTATATCTTGTCGTTTGTCGATGTCTAGTCTCTAGCAGCTGTGTGATATCGCGTGTGCGGTCACGTGACCAGTCCTTATTGATCGATAGAGGTTGCGCTATCGTGCGAGCTGCACCTAGCTGGGCCAGTAGCAATCAGGCTAACTAGAAAGTCAGGCGTGCATTTCCAATGCAATCATAATGGCCACCGCAAAGAGCCAATGATTGGACTGCCGGCATGCTGGCTGCAAATGGGCCAGCGATTAGGCTTACTCAAAAGCCACTATTAGTTGCGGTTATGGCCTGGAGTCTGATCACAGTGGCATCGTGTACGCTGTATCCCCACTTAAATAGACGAAGTGCGTTCAGCAATAATGACTCATCAATCTTTTAACGCAGTACTAGGAATGCAGTGCTTGGCGCGCCTCCAATTAAGGGATTGTGGAGACCATTAATTGCGGCCGATTTGCGTCTGCGACATTTCTGTGTGATTATTCACAGTTCGCTTGGGTCGTTGTAAGTTGCACCGCAGTGAATAGGCTGCTTCAACAGTACTACGGATGCTGATAGCCTCTTTGTTGCTCTTTTACATGTATACCAAATTTTGGGTTTATTGATTGGGGTCGTGGGAGAAGTTAACAAAAGGATTCCAGTTACTTCTGTGGCCTAATTCCGCAAGTTTATTCCTGCAACTCGCTATTTTGAGTTTGACTTAACTGAGTTTCCGAAAATTTGAGCATATGATTTTCTTTTCGTTTGACTGTTTTAATAAGTTCTTATTTAAAGTTAACCTGGGTTTTTGAGTTTACCAGGTTCTGTAGTTAACCGGTTGTGACTTATCGAGATTTCACTGAATATCAGAAGTTCAAACATCATTTTATGTTGATGAAAGATGTGAGAAGTAAAAAATTGAAGTAAAAATACCTGTGCAAAATAAATATTTTAGATTAATGACTACATATATATTTGTTGGGGGTAGAATGCAAGTTTTAGGTTCTGAAGACTGCAGGTTCCAACCTCACATGTATCTTGTCCATTTCTTAGTTAGGAGCATTTGTGAGGAACTTTTAAAAGGATGATGCAGCAGTTGTCCCTTGTTCTTTTCCTTGGCAGCCCTGCACTGTCCACGTTCTATCTTTCGTGTGTAGTGTTTACTTGGTTTCTTATTGTTTGTATATCCTTTTGTTTTAATATCAAATTTTATGTATTTATTGTAATTGTGTGTATATATGTCAATCTGCCAAATAAAATATTAAATATTATTATTATTCAAACAATTTTTGAACGATGTAAATTTTATTTCTTAGCTGCCTGCAGAAAATGGAAGTAACATCACCGCCAGGCACAGTTGTTGGCTATGTGTGTCAGTCATGGAGTATGTGCTTTCCTAAATTCACCATAGAAGATGCAAGTGGAACAACTATTTTGCGCATTGAAGGACCACTGTGCACCTGGAACCTTTGTGGAGATGTCGAGTTTGATGTAAGTTTTCATAAATGGCATGCTAGGAAAGTTCATGAATATTTTTGATTCACATATAAGGGTATGTCCGATTGTTATGAAACTTGGTGGGTAGGTAGGTATAAAATCTGAAGTGACGTCGTCATGATGTCATCTGATTTTTAATTAATTTTTGAAATTTTATTAATTTTTAAAATTTTAATATTTTTTTGTAATTACCAAAAATTACTTAAAAAGCGTGACGTCATCCTAAAACTGCATATTTTAAGGCCCTTTATCTTCACAACCAAATCAAATTCGGTGAGTAGGTAGGTACTGATAATGGTATTCAAAATCTGAAATGACGTCACCATGAGGTCATCGTCTGACTTTTTTAATGAATTTTAAAATTGTAATATTTTCTTCTCATTAAAAAATAAAATACATAAAATACAATAAATATGCTAAATTAAAAATTCTTTTTGTATTATGTTTGTTAGTAACAGGTACAGCACATTGCAATTGAAACCTAACACTGTGAAATGGAATGGGAAAATTTGTGAAAAAAATGCGCATTCGCAGTATAATTTCGCATTTTGAGCGTGACATTTACCCCTTGCAAATTCGCAATGAAAATGTGCGAATGCAGTGCGAAAACGGTGCGAATATTTTGCGAACGCGGTCTGAAAAAAATTGTGAACGCCAAGTTAAAAATTGGTGAGTACAAAATCAATGTGCGAAAATCGTATGAAAGGGGACGCGAAAACGTTGCGAAATCGTTGTGATGAAAGTACATGTAGCTGCCGGTACCTACCTCGTGGTGTGTTGCACCATGGTTGCACGTATACAGAACGTACATCCAAAGCCGCTTGATGTATGAAAACACGTGGGCCTGTACGTGCTATTGCAGCAGTGACTGGTTCCCACTGCGCCGCGCACTGGCAAGATGGAAATGCGGTAACCAGTCAATGCAATAGTTGCGCGTGGTACGTGCATGCGCAATGTACACTGCAGTACAGTTGCATGCAGGCCGGACGGCGCGGAATAGACATCGTGAAAATGCCAAGAAAACATCGATGGAGAAAGACGATCTTTGCAAGCTTATACTCACAGAACTCTTGATCTCTCTTGTCTGTGTATGTATTTCCCGTGTTCGTGAATTTATTTCGAGGAAATACTACTGGTATATGAAGTGAAACGATGCAGCGAGTTTCACCGAAATCACATACCGATAAACGAAGCTCAATGCATGCCCACTGCCGGTCCACAACATACAGTGCATCATCGCACGTTCGTTCCAAGCGAAGTTCAGACATTGTTAGCCAGTTTCTCGTCGTAACTAGCATTGTGCACATGGTATAAATTACCTGCATTTTCCATTATTTTTAAAGAGGTTGTGGAATGCTGAAATTTTTTTATATTTTTATATTGTAGAGTAGACCCATATATATCATAATGACAAACTCCCATCTTTTCTAATGTGCGTTTATATGTTTATAAAACTGAAATTCATCTAGTAATTTGTTGGTCGGCGAGCGCATAATTGAAATCAACAGTCGCTGGGCTCTTCGTAAAATCAGAAAAGCGTGACGTAATAAACAGGACTCGTTTATACAACGACTGTTAACTGCTACCCAACCCGCCCCATCAGCACGTGTGACTCGCAGTCAAGCAGTGAAAAATCAACATTTTGTAAAAGACTCGCGGAGATTGATATTCCTTCCCATTGCTTAATTTTTGGACGAGTATATTGAACAAGGACACGGTGACCTCTGAGCTGTTCTTCCGTATAAATTTGAGCCCCAACTGCCCGAAAAAGAGACCACCGAAAACACGGATACTGCAACTGGCCAGCTGAAAACGCCAGGCAACGCGGCTCTGATGAGTGGTAGGTCTGCGACGTTTGCGTGAAAAACAAAAGCTGCGTTTGATCCAAGGACTCAAAGTATTATGTTCATGATAACATTTTTAGATGAGCATCAACAGTCCTACCGCAACTTTCTTCGTGATTTACAGACAATCTCAAACGTTATTCTGGTGAATATTCAGTCCAAAGAGACGACAAATCGTCAGGTTGTTTTCGAATTATACGCGTACGGCACGCATAACGCATCACGGCAGTGGATGTGGTCGACCGTGTCCAGCACTAATGTTGTACGGTTAGTTAGCGGGCCCCAGTCAAGTTCCTTGCGTTGCCTGGTGCTTTTTATGTATACGTTCGCCACAAAAAATTAGTCCTCTTCTCTTTTCTTTCCTTGTGCATTTTAACACTTGTTTTAACATCCTGAAACGATAATTACGAATTTACTTGAATTTTGAAATTGTTAACTTTATTGTTTACCAGAAAAAAGCCATAAAACAACGCCAGAAGTCCATGGGACTACTGCTTCACCACGACCTGTAAACATGGCTACCAAAAAAAGTACAATTCATAAATCATAGTCATGCTCCGTTCATAAAACAAAAATCTCTGGACTTACGACACTTTCGGGATCCCGGTTGAAAACAAAATTCACTGGTCCCGAAATTTAACGAGCACTATCATTATTTTCAGTACCTAATTAAGACTTTATTCAAGAAATTCCAGTGGCAGAGAATTTGTCATTCGATCAAAAGAAGTTCTAGGGAAAATGGAGGCCTGTCACATTAATCAGCACTAACGTAAGGAAAACTACGCCGTTCTTTTTTCTACGCATTTACCTTCAATTTGTGTGTGACAACGTGTGCGCGTATGCTGCGCAGATAATGGAGGGTCGAGTTTACATTTGAACGGGTCTACGGTTCTTTAAGATTGGCAATGGACAAATGGTCCAAAACCGTTTTCCCTATAAATCATTAACAAATCATATCTCTATTATTTCTTGTCCAATTTCAACAAATCTCTTGAGAAAAGAAGACTCTTGCCGTACAAAATGTACAGTGCATGATCAGCGCTCTATCAGTTAATTTGGCTGAAATCCGATCTTGTGTTTCGCACGGTACCCTTCGGACAAACTGCATGGCTACGGAGGATTCTTATTCCTCCATGCTGACACCCGGACGGGAAAGCTGGAAATTTATCGCAAACAAAATGTGGTGTGATTACAGCCAGGGACTGACACAATTATAGGCATAGGTTTGCCTTGGCCTAGTGCGTTCGCTACCCGTACACGTATCAACAACTAATTATTTTGAAATTCCAACACCGTTTACCGGTGTCAAAATCTACGGTCCCAGCGGCCGGGCCAGCGGCACGAGTACACCCGTGAATTTCCAGCCAGCTTTACATAGCGCGTGTCACGGTGATGCAATGTGCATGTGATCGTGAACGATCGAACGATGTTGATGTAACGCAGACATTTCTTACTATGGTTGGCCGTTAGGGCAAACACAAAAGAATGATCCCCGATCTATAAATAAAATGATGTGTAACTATCAAAACACTGAATAATCAATAGAAAGTACCAAAAAGTCAATGGAGATATCTTCCTATTAAATTCTGAACTTGCCCATTAGAATTTCGGGGGTAAAAGCTGTTGCCAACTACGGTTGAATTTATGGAGTATGTGGCTGCCCATACAAAATGTTGCTCAGTGTAATTGTAAACAAAGTCATGTCGTTGCGCGGAGTGATTTGCAAAAAGTTTCGCTGGAACTACGCTGCATCGGAAGTCCTGTTTATTACGTCACGATTTACTATGTTTTGTTTGCTGCCCCCAACGACGACTTTTACACAAATTGCACGTTCGGGTCGAAACAGGACCTGAAAAACAGCTCTCAAAAGTACCTTTTGTATTTATTTCATGACAGAAACAATAGTTGTTTTTATTTCATCACACCCTAGGCTACAGATACCCGAAAAATGACGGAAATGTCTTTGAGCATTCCACAACCTCTTTAAGATTATCGACGGCAGATTTTTTCATTAACACTTATGGCAAGTTTTTGTCATTTTTGAGGCCCTTTTTGTATAGCTTTCGTAGTGCAATGGAAATAGTTCAGGCTGAACATTTTCATATAATTTTAACGGATCTGAAAACAAGTATTCCATTACAGAAAATACCTCATCTCTGTTTACCTACATTTGCATATCAGCGCGCATGCGCACAAACATTCGCTGAAAAGAATAGCGCCCAAGCCACATCCTCATTGTCCACTGCATGCCCCACGCCCACAAAGGACCCTGTAACGTAATAGCTCGTCCTAGTTTTTTCAGCGACGCGTAGTGTAAAGACGTACAATTTTTAGCTGTTCTCGCTGTGATTACAAAATGGCGGACTCCGCCAAAACCAACAAGAAAACTGTCGGAAAGTCACCCTCTAGGCAATCCAAGCATGATAATTCCTCTGCTACAACCGTGTCCAATCTCCTGGGTTCGGCAGTTGGAATTTCTCCGGGGACGAATACTTCTCCAACGAGAGTTACGGCCACTCCCCGACAAATCCCGCATTCTTACGGCAGTCTGCAGGAGCACATGCACGCTTCGGAACAACAGGTCGACTCGCATGTGCAGGCGGGACGGCGGGGCTTGGCGTTCGAAACCCAGAGGTCCCTCGGTAATCCGACCAGCCCCGCCGGGTCACAGAGGCTTGGGGCACCACCACCTCCATCATCTTCATTCAGCCATACTACGGGTTCGTATTCACAACCTAGTTTTACAAGCAAATCTCGGCGAGATTTTCCTCATCATTCGGAGCCTCACACGTGGTCCTTTTTCCCGAACGATCCTCATCACTTCGACCACAATACTCACACTGCGTATCCACTCAGTGCTCCATCCTACGACCCGCGGGTTTATCCCCAGACTTTTCCGATGGGATTTTCACACCATTACACACCTTATCAGGGTAATTCTTCACATTCTTCGCAAGATCATGGCGTACCTTTCACAGGACAAAGACTCCGTTCTCCACAACGCTTCGGTGAGGACACCAGCCGGGCGGGGAGAGAATGCTGCGATTCACGGCGTAGTTCCCGGTCTCGTGCACGGTCCCGCTCGGACTCCGACGATTGACATAGGCGCCGACATCGTTCTTCTCGTCATGATCGTGATTACTCACGGTC